AATTGTTTTGAATTGAAAGGTGTGTTAAAATACACCGCCAATAACCGGTAATTTCATTAATTGAATCAAACTTAATTGCTGATTTTTCTTCAGAATTAACGTGAATATTTATTGTCACATCATCAATAAAGTAGCTTAATGGTTATATACTTTTAGGAGCATGATTGACAATACCAACTAGTTAATCTGTTTGTTGCAAACTTCACGCTTTTATTGGTTTTCAAGATATTGTCAACAAAATTCTATGATGCTCTCAAAATGTTATAAATATCTAATAATGAAATCAAGTAAGTCAAACTTACCTCTTACACAATAAACCCAACACTATTTACATTTCAATTTTCACAAAATGATGTTTTAGTTAAAATCTAGTTTTTTTGAATAGTTTTTCTAACTTAATCTTTAACTCTATAATGCTGCTAACTTTAGTTCTAGTTTTTGTTATTTTGTTTTAAACATTTCCACTGATGTTTTTAATTTCTACAATTCAATTTATTATATTTTACTCTAAATTCATCTTCCTATCTTCCTTTAATTTTAGTTTTATGCTTCGGCCTTTATTTTATTCTTTACGCTTACATGCTTTTCATGTCAAATATTATGCTTCCTCTTTGCAATTTAGTTTTCCTATCATGCACTTTCTTTCTTCTCTTTTCCTTTATGTTTCTTTTATTTTGATCAGCAAATTAGTGTTTTGACCTTAATTATGAGAAGTCCTTGATATTCTTCCAAGGTAATTATTTATGGATATTTATATAGGATGCACCTCTATTTCTACAATAATCATTTGATCATGACGCACTTCATAATTTATTTAACTAGCAATCCTCCATTGATTTGCAATTGAGTTCCATGTTTGATAGTTGTGAGGATTGTTGAGAATTCCTCTTTCTTATTTTGAATAAAATGAATGGTAAGTTTTTGCAATCCTATCTACCACACGATTGGAAAGAGAGATTTTGGAGAAAACAAGGACATATCAACAATGTTTGGAGAGACAAGTATTGTGAGAGTTTATTTTCTTATGAGTTGAATATAAGTCAATTATGAATTAATTGAAATTTAATTTGACTTTTAGTTATTGGAGGGTTAATATAAATAATTTAAAAAAAGAAAAAGAAAAAGAAAAAGAGAGCAATTTTGGGCTGACAGCCTGGCAGAGATGATCATGGGCCTCCTTGACAGAACCGCGCAAAAAATGGAAAGGCTTTAAAGTTTAATTGTTTAAAAGACCCAAAGCCGAATTAGGAATGGACAAGCGCCAGTTTTAGGTCGGAACCTATGGGCCTCACTTTTTTGAAACCGAAGCCCATAACTTATGCGGCCAACAGCTTAAGCCCATAACCGGCACTGTGGAGCTTCCACTCCATTTTGGGAGTGTTTTTTTTTTTTTTAACCATTTTGGTCCTTTTCTGAATAGGGAGATTTCATATAAATAAATACATAAGCTTCTAAAACTTATCTAATTAAAAATATAACATTTTTTTATTAATAAAGACTACCTTTCAAATGTTTCTAATGAAGAATATGATATTTTTTCCCCCATTCCGCCTAGGTGTCTTATTAAGTCATGTATAATTCTACATTACGGATTTTTTTACCTAAGAAAATGGGATTATTAATGAATGATAACTAATCAATACTATTTTTTTTAGATTTAATTAAGCTTAGTCCTTCACTTTATAGAATAAGTTGATTCACATGAAAGTAATTTTATTTAGGTAAAATGCCCAAATCCATCCCAAAGTTAGATAATAGGGACGAATCTATCCCTGAACAGAAAACAGAGATAAATTCATTCACAAAATTTTTAAATTCATTCACAAAATTTTTAATTTGGACAAATCATCCCAAATTTAATGTGTAATATCATCTAATGTCAACAATTTGTTAATTTGTTATGTCGTTAATACATTCATTATTAACAAATTATTGACGTTAAATAACATCACACATTAAATTTGAAATGATTTGTTTAAGTTAAAAATTTTGTAAGTAAATGTTTTTTTGTTCAAAAATAGATCCATCCCTTTCACTTAACTTTAGGGGTGGATTTGTGTATCCTACTTTTTATTTATTATAAGAGGGATTGATTCCCCTTTTCCATAGACCTATAGCTCATAACTTTCTCATCATGCTTTCCATTTCTCTGTCCATGGTTTTAATCCACAAACTTATTTCTACTTATGTGTAACAAATGAATACATGGCACTATGACCAACTATGTAAATAATTTAATAATAATTTATTTTTATTAAAAGTAAAATATTTTGATTTTGGATTACATAATATCTAAATAAGATGATTTGAGAGATGGAAAAAAATTATTTCAAATTATGTAATAAAAAAAAACATCACTACAAGAACAAATGTACTCAAAAGAAATTAAGTAATAAATAATAATAAAGAAAGAAAGAAAAACTGTTACGGAGCCAGATAATTTATTTTTTGAATCTAAAATTATGAGGGCTTTGATATTTCCTTGGGTTTCCCTGGGAGTATAGAGTACATATACTTTAGAGATCAATGGAAAACTCGCCTTCCCCCC